TATTCTCGCAATGCTCTGCCTTCGTATAACTTAAAGTCCAGAGGAGGCCGTAGGCAGTTAACAAACAAATGAACAAGTAAATAAGCCTACAGGGACCGTGCACGATACGAAAGAAATTAACAGAGTGCAATGATAGAATACCAGGGAAACCCCATTTAGGCAAGATGATCAGGAAAGCCCTGGCTGGTGGAGGGACAGTTAAGATTTGAGGGATAAAAAGGAGCTAACCATGTGAAGAGCAGAAGGGGAAAGTGTAGGCTAAGGGATGGACGTATGTGAAAGCCTTGAAGAGAAGGCTGAGGAATTGATATTAGGCCACAATCTATAGTGGGCAAGGTAAGGTTGGAGATGAGGGGAGGGTCTGAATCAACCAGGACCTTATAAGCCAAGATAAAAAACTGATTTTGTCCAATGGACAGTGGTTAGCCATTGCAGGATTGTAAGTAAGGAGATAATGTAATTGGTGTTCCTGCAGGGCTTTATTCCCAAACCAGAGGGTACAGATTTTATTGTCAAACCCCCAACATAGGTGATAAGGGCAGGTGGCATTCTACTCCTGAGGGTGCTTGAGTATGTCAGGATCATTCCTCCTTTCCTCTTGTAAGGATGAAATTGAAGAGTAAGGAAGAGAATGGAGGCAGTTGTATTCTGTATAGGTTGCTATGTGGCCATAGGCAGTGAAAGAAGCATTGGTCCAAGAATGGCCTCCAAAAGATGGTATCAAAGATGAGTCTGGAATGATGATTGACAGAAGTAGGTAAAGAAAGCAAAGAAGAGAGTTCTAGGCAAGAGGGAGCAGAATAGGCAAGTATCCAGAAGCATATTATGGAAATTAAAAGTAGTTTAGTGTGATTATGGCATGGTGTGTGCAGGGGTGAGGAGGGAGGAAGAATGGAAGACATGTCTGCAATACAGTGCAGTGTAGGAAGAGCTAGGTAATGAAGAACATCTCATGCTAGGCAAGGAAGTTTGTGCTTTCTCTTGAGGACAATAGGGAGGAAGCACAGAAGGGTTTAGGTAGAGGCAGAAGTCATAATCAAAGTTGCATTTTCGAAGAATCTCCCAGGAAGGAGTACAGGAAACGTAGGGGCAAGTTTTCAAGAGGAGAAATAAGGTAGGAGGCCAAAGCTCTAATCTAGGCATTCAAATGTGGCCTGAATAAAGTAGAAGCAGTTGAGCTGGACAAAGGTCTTCTGGTTAGAGGGATATTTAAGTTAGTAAATTGACAAGTCCTGGTGAAAAATTAAATTTGAGAGCCGAGGGGAACAGCTGACTCTGTTCCCCAAATGGTTACTTGAGCAATGGCTTAGATGAGATTGGCTTTGATTAATCCCAAGAAACACAAAGGAAGAGTGGGTGTACCAGAAAAGACAATGTGTGTCATATGATGCATTTTTGTCAAGGTCCTTTTGGACATCTAAGAGGAAGCATTGGATGGGTAGTTGGATATTTGGCCTGGAACTCAAGAGATAGAAATGAGCATGAGATAAGGGCATATGTTTGGGAGTCCTCAGCCCTAGATGGTAACTGGAGCCATGAGAGGAGGACGGAATCACCCAAGGGTATATAAAGAGTGAGAAGAGGGATGAGGACAGATCTCTGGGAGATTTCAGGTGTTTAAGGGACAAGCAAAGGAAGAGAATGAGCTAGAGAGGAGGTAAAACCAAAAGAGTATAGTGTTCTGGAAACAAAGGCAAGAGAACAAATGAGTAAGAAGTGGTCAAGTGATACAGAAAGTGGAAGAGAATTCAAGTAAAATAAAGGCAGAAAATTGTCCAGTGGAGTTAGCAGCAGAGAAAGCCTTGTTCCTCACTATGGGACCAGTGTCAGTAGAAAGGGGCAGGCAGAATACATATTGTGGTGGCTCAAGAAGTGAGGATCTGGAGACAGTGTGGAAACTTCCTTTCCAAGACTCTCTTATGCCTGAAAAGGGACAAATTCTTCTGTTAAACCATGTATTCGGATTTGGGGTTTGAAAGTATGGTCACCATACTTCTGGGTAGCCTATGAATCCAGAAAGTTAAATGATTTCTGGACAGGGAGGAGAGAATGGAGATTCCAAGGCTTCTATCTGTGTTCAAGATTATAAACAATAAAGTCTGAAAAAATCTTCCCGGACTCTTGGATTTTTCTAAAGCTAGAAATTAATTTTCTGTGGTGGGAAAGGAGAGAGAACTATGTATTGATCATCTATCATTTTATAGTGCTCAGGACTCTATATTTAATCTTCATAGGAACCTAGAAGGTACAAATATCAGCGCTGATTGCAAAAGAAGTAAACTAGGTTCAGAGAGGTTCAGTGTACCTGATCACCCAACTGGTACATGGTGAAGTCACTTTGTGATCATTCAAACTGTATTTTCTTTATTATACTCAATGGGACTAGGACAGCAAGAATTTCTCCCTCTAAGACAGGATATATGAGCCTGGAGTTCATGAGAGGGAGGGAGAATGATCTATTTGGAACAGTTAATATGTGATTCCCAAGCTGGAAGAGGGCAGACAGCCATTTGAGAAGGAATTGATAAAACATACAAAATGAATCAAAGTCAGAACCAAAAAAGGCATCATGCAAGGTTAAAATTATGTGAATAATGATGTGCATTCGTTATTTTAATGTTTTCCAAGTGCATTTCATTTTGAATGATATACTCAGATAGCACACATGGTAAGGTATAATTGAAAAAACGTGCAGGAGAATGGCTGCATTCAAAGAATAAACATACAGCTGCGAGGAGGTTAGGAGTCAAAGGGGTAAGCATATGCCCCGTCCCCCAGGGATCTCATTAGTGCATGAGTGACCATATATGCAGAGGCTAAATGAATCTCACTGTTTGCAAAGACCCGCGATAAATGAGACAATGACGAATCAATAGTAATTAAGCCTATAGATTCTTATTGACCCAGATGTCTGAAACCAAATGCCCTGCTCTGAGATTCCTTGAGAGGCAAATGAAAAGATTTATAGACACACACTTAAAAAAAAAAAAAAATCCCTTTACTCTAAGTACAGTGATGCTATTCTGAAGAAAAATGTTGCTAGAATTAGTGCAGACTCTTGACTTCTTGCTGGAAAAGATGTTCTCTTGGCTTTTGTTGTCAGTGTGGTTGCTGTTGGACCAGGAGTAGAGAGAGAGCAGAGAAATAGAAAATCAGGATGTGATCATATTCTATACAGATGGTTCTGGTCCCACCTTCCATAGAGGCCTTGGAGGAGACCTTCCTGACACTATCATACAAGCATGCTAAAGCAGAGTTTGAATGAGGGACTTTGGCAAATCGTTACTGACCTGGAATACAGAAAACACATGGCTTCAGAGTCACACAGAGAAGGGTTTAGATTTGGACTCTGTCAAGTAAGTGCTTCACCTCTTCAACGTCCCTCTTGTAAAGGGACATTAATAGTGTTTGCCTCACTAAGCTGGTTGAAGGCCTGGAGCACACTCAGGGAGCTGCAGTTGATGATGATGTGGTTGGTGAGCCTTTTCCCAACCACACTGCTGTCCTCCTAATGTGATCTAAGGCAGATTTTTACGGGTGGAAACGAGGTGTCACGGCAAGAAGCAAAAAGGTGGCCTGGTAGATAGGACTGCCCTTGCCTCTACCCAGCATACGTCACACACATGTACACACATTCTCACACTTACATTCCCTCACACACTTACATAGAGCTGTTTTGCTTTTCTTTCTTTTCTATATTGGAGTTCCACATAACACTTTTATTCAATAAAAGAGCTTGAAAACCACCGCTCTGCTCTTTAATTTATAAAACTTCCAGGAACTTCATGCAATCCATGGGAACACTCAGTGTCACAAAGCTGGAACTCGAAACCTCTGAGCTGTACTCCTCAAACATGTTTTAAATGTAAGTCATAAATACGATCTTAGGTATCTTAGGTATAACCTCCCTTGGATACTGATTTCCTATTTTTTTCCACTGTTATTCAAGCCATGTTTTTAACCATTAAAGCTATCGTTCCAGAGACACCAGTGGGAAGTCGCATGGATGCCAACCTCTGATAAACCCACTTTCTTCTAGAATTGTTGATTTGGGACTTTGAGAAGGAAGTACTTTTAAAGAGGGAGAGGTAGCCAACTTGAATCTTTGTGACATGCAGTGAAATTTAACCCAGTGAGGTAGCTGTTCTTAACGTATGGGAAAACTGAAGTTCAGGGAGGTTATGTCGTTGGCACATGTTACTCAGCTGGGACAGGGAGAACGAAGATTTGAACCTAGGACTGCCTCGACTCCCAAGCCCATCGTCTCCACCTCCCTCCCACCTGAACATGTAAAGACTGAGAGAGGTACTCAGACTCCCTCATTCTCCACATGAAGGAACCGAGGCTTAAACAGGAGAAAGAACTAATGCAATAGCATTTGGTGGGTTAAGGTTAGAAATCAAGTGTCCTAATTCTTGATCCTAACTGCATTCACTCCATACTATCACTTCCCTTAGCAAGCTCCTTTCCTGAGTCTGGGAACTTATATTTGCCTCCATTCGTCATCTCATCGTTATTATTACAAGTAGGAATACCAATTTTAAAAAATCCTTTACATATGTACAGTATAGTACACTTTATAAAATACTGTATCTTCACATATATAATCTTTTTTGATCTTCACAATAGCTGTATGAAGTAAGTTGGACAGGGAATATGTATCTTGTTTTACAGATGCAAAGAAAGTGGTTCAGAAAGTTTGAATAACTTTCTCATGGTTACACCCTACGAGGGATAAAGCCATTCCTAAATCTGGTCTTCTGATTCCAAACCTTTCCACCCTCTGCTAGGACATCCCATCTATTCTGGGTGATAGTACAGTGATGTGAGAGATCAGTATGCTGGTTTCTGTGGGTTTGGGGTAGTTTCTTTGCTGAAGCTTTTGGGACTCTGCTTACCTTCTGGATCTGATGTGGAAGTACAAATGGTTTCTTTCTGCAGAACAGTTTGCTCCCCGACCCTACCCCCACTTTTAAAAACAAAATTCACTTCTCTTCCAGATGCCAGAGTGTATATGCATATTTGAACAGTCACCTGGATCTAATTAAGAAGGCTCAGCCTGTGGGTTTCCTCACTGTTGATTTACATGTTTGGCCAGATTTCCATGGCAACCGGTCTCCCTTAGCAGATCTGACACTAAAGGGCATGGTAAGTGACAGCCAGTCCTTGCTCAAAGGTGAAGGCAGGCCAAAGGGCCACAAAATTTGGAAGAAGCAAAGTGGGAGAAAGGAAAAGAAGAAAACTAAACAAAACAGGCCAACAGCCCACTAGCTTCCTGTAGACGCGCTGCTGTTATGAAGGTTCTTGTTGCTCTGCAGGATGATCTGCTGAAAGTTCTCCTTGTTTCTGAGCCAATCTTGAGAGCGCTAAAAGCAGTATTTCTTACATTTAGCTACTGCTGCCTCTTCGTCCCATGGAGTGGCTGGAGGTTGTGAGCCCCTGCCTGTGTAATTTTTGTATTTACATCAGTTTGAAGAGTCATGTTTTCCATCTCCATCCCCTGGCTGCCTGGTAAGTAAGTGGTAAATATTACCACCCATGATCTTGCTTGCCACAGACACACATCTGCCTGGTCTCTGTAAGTCAGAGCTATTCAGAGTCCATGCTAATATGATTCGAATTTCAGATGGAACTTTGGTGAAAGTAAAATACAATTAATAACTTACGTCGGTGGATAAATTCAGCTCTTAGTGACATTAAGGGTCACTTCCAGTGCAGAGAGTCCAGGCTCTCCCGGAGGGGCCAGGATGAACTTGGTGGGAAAGCTCATAACCACCTAAGCTAAGATATGACATCTTGGTGGCCAAGTGAGATTAGGTGGCTAAGAGTAGTATAGCCATCAAGAATCGCGTGAAAGTGAAAGAAGTAGAGTTAAGCTTCAGTTCCAAGAGGCAGGAGAGGCCACGAATAAGAAAATAAGCCATCAATACAGAATGTAGGAAGCTGTCAAAAGCTGAGAAGCAGAGTGTGAGGTATATTAAGGTGGAGAATTCAGAGTGGAGGCTGCGAGCAAGGTAAGGTTTATGCACTGCATGGCAATGGAGCAGGCCTGCTGGCTCGAAGCCCTTCAAGACTCACTTCTATGGTTTGTGATTAATTTCACTGAGATGGTTTTAAATATTTTTATGATGCCAACAGGAAGACCTGATCTTTATTTTCATTACTTTGTTGACATAATCAACTTGTGCTAAAAAAAAAATGGAGTCAAGGTGAAAAGAAAAGAAAATTGGACACAGCAAAAGTTATGTGTGTCTAGAGTCCGTGAAGTGTGCCCACACAACAAAAATTATTTGGCCTGTGGAAGCAGAAGGAGAAATGTCCAGAGAGGGCCATGTGGCCACAGGTTGCAACTAGAAAGCCATGCTTTCGGATAACTGACTCTCTGGATGCAGACAGAGGTTAGGGGAAGAACACATTTTTGTATGGGTACAAAAATGAGTGTCAATTAAAGACAAATAACAGAAGCCAAATACCTTAGACACCTAAAATGCTAAAGAAGTTAAGAAGCCTGACCAGTTCATAAAATAACCCCCAAACAAAGCACAGTTGTATAGTAAAATGATCTGGATCTAGAGTCATTCTCTTGGGGTCCTCCCCTTGCCACTCTCTGTCTACCCAGTTTCAACACCCAGCATGGCAGGTGCCATGTCTCCCAGTGGCTTTTGTCTATTTCTTAAAACTAAGCCCAACATTCAAAGACTTAAGAATTCTAATAAAGGTAGCCCAAATGCAGAATGTAATTCCAAAAGAGACCATGGAGTATTTTTATGAATGCCTGTCTCATTAGAATAAGTGCTTACTCACCAAAGGAGATTTCTTACATGCGGAAATATGCCCAATTATATCGAAATATCCTACTATGTTTGCTTCCTTTAAAGTTTCACTGGTTTATAAATATACCTCATATATTACCTGATATTTCTTATCACTGTTTTCCTTTCATAACTGTTCATGGGTTAGGCTAACATTAGAATAGCTGTCACTTCATGAGTTTACATCACAGCACTGGAAGGAGAAGGTGACCTAGATAAGATAGAAGGAAGGAAATTCTGAGCTAAATGGTCCCCAGACCAGCGACCTGGGTATCACCTGGGAGTAAATCCAATTATGGGTAACATCAAAATAATCATCCTGAAAACTATGTTATCCTTTTGTCAGAACCTACAATGACTACTGTCTCCAGCACTCATTCAGTAAATATTTATTTGGTACCTACTATATGCGGAGCACTGCTGTAGACACAGTAAGGTACAATAATTCCTTCATTCATATTTCAAGGGAAAGGAGGGCAGTGCTTGATAAAATGTGTACATAGCAACTAGAATTGTCAGGGTAACCCCAGGAGGGCAAGAACCATATATGATTTCTTCTTTGGGCTCTCGAAACATTTCTCTGGGTACATACTAAGTGTTTAATGTGTACTTATTGATAATTTATAGTCAACATGGAGATAATAAAGAGATCTTGCATTCTTTTAGAAAAAATACATATGAACAATTTGCCAATACTGAATGGATTAGTTGCTACTCTTACTATCCATATGATAAGTATTTAATACCAGTATTAATGCCCAAGTAAATTCAGAGAAGAAGCTCCCATTTTATCTTAATTATGGATACATTTGTCAATCAATTATTTTAACAAACAAACACAGGCCCTGTTATAGGTGGTAGTAGGAATAAGAGTAGCCATAATTCCAGCTCTTGGGAATATTACTGTGTTGGGAGCAGGCAATATATAAACAAGCATTGGGGATACTGGGTCAAGCTCCAGGTACCATTCAGTGTCCAGGGCTCCCTACATGCATAGAAGATGAGACCCAACCTGTTTTCACTGGTCAAGAAAGGCTTCAACTAGGAGGCGACACTGAGTGAAGTGGAGAAGAGGGTTTGGGGCCAGGGAAGTCATAGTATATGCAGTGTTCTGGAGGGGAGGAGAGAGCATGGCATATGAATGTCAATGATTTTGGCTTCTTATATCATTGTCTTACCAATGATCAGTTGCATTTAGCATTTTATCTTGGTAATAAGAAAGTATTTTCTCAGAACCACTCCCTATTCTCCTTCGGCTTCAGCAGCATTATGCTCTCTTAATTCTTTGCTCTTGCACCAGTGACTCTTGTCTCTTACTTTTGTTAAACATCCATTCATTCATTAAGTGTTGTTCACCTACTATGAACACAAAGGAAAAAAGAAACTGTACCTGTCCTGAGTTCACATGAAAGTAGGGAAGATAATTATTGTACGTGTGTGTGTGTGTGTGTGTGTGTGTAATCATTATACAGTGTGATGATACCTGTAATATAAACATCGATGTAAGCTGAAGGGGGTGCTCTGTAAATATCTGACTTTGAAATTTTTTTAAAAACTGGCATTTGGTTAAGCAAGGCCTCATACAACCTTTCTCTACTTCACTTGAAAATGACCGGTGAAGATTCAGAAAAATCATTAACTCATGCTGACTTTGACACTTAAGATGACATTCAGCTAGGAAAACTAGAATTGGCATTCTCAGAATCTGGGAATATTTTCCAGCATCTAAAAGACTAAATATAACTTGTTCGATAACCGTAGTACATGACATATGAGCATAGTAAACCACTAGCCTTGGAAGAGTTCGGACATCTCCACCTTTTGCTCTCTCACTTAAAAATGCAAGGCCCCTTTAAGGCTAAAAAGAGGATAGTCATCCCTCTACCCTGCTACTGCGGTTAGAGTTTTTGTTTTGTTTTGCTTTTTGGAAGCAGCCAGCAAGTTGAATTTCCCAGAACTCCTACACAACTCGAATCTTATCTTCTCTTTCAGTTCAGTCCATTAGAAAACTGCCAACCCAAGAAGCCAGCTGAGCAGGGAGTCTGATCTAGGATGAATGGTGGTGCTGCCCTGCATGCTAAGGATCCTGAGTTTAAAAAAAAAAAAAAAAAAATCTATTAATGAGGCAGAGACAGGAAAACCCTGTGAATTTGGAGGAGGGGTGTAGTTTTGCATGACTGCTGCTTTAGGATTAGAAACCTGGGCAGTGGTGACCCACCTCTGGCCAACAAAATAGGAACTGCTAGCCTCTCGAAATTGGCAACTAGCTGTAGATCTGAAGAGGCAAATCCAAACTACAGTGAGTTGGGTTGGAAGTAAATCATGAGGACTGTATGCTGGGAAACACTGAATATGTATAACTCTAGTTAGAATGAATAAAAAAATAATAAAGCGAGTCCATTAGGAAAACCATGTTGCATACAAAGAAAAAGAGATACCGTATTGAACACTTAGGGAAAGGCCTCTTAAAAAATATTTATTACTGAAACCAAAAGAAAATATTAAAAACTCCTCGACATATTCAATGGGATTTTTTTAAAGGCACATCTCTATGAAATAGGGTAGAAACTTATTAGGAAAAAATGAGTTTGGAAGAAAAGTCAGTGGAATAGAAAAAAAAAAAAAAGGAAGTGATAAAGACAACCAAAAATACTAAATAGAATTAAAACCTGCATCGAGGGCAATAAACATAACTTTTACTGAAGAAAAATAAGATCAGAGCTGTCATAAGATACAGCATATATTTTAAATTTACTAGAAAAACATTTTGAGGGTGGGGACTATAGCTTATTTACTGTTTAAATTTCAACAGTGCCTAGGTCAGAGACAGGGACATGTCTCTGTTGGCTTATAGTTAAGCAATTATTTTAATCTTTCTTTGCCAAGTGAGGAATGAATGGTGGCCTGCCCTTGTTCACAATACCAAGAAATGGCAGAGCTTCAATAAAAACATGAATCCTGACTTTCGGGGCTCTTATCCCCATGAGGCTGCCTTAACTCATAACTCTGGACTTCGAGAAGTGTACTGAGGACTATAAAAAAGGAGTCCAAATTCCTATGTCACGTACAGCTTAATGCTGAACCACACTCCTCACTCTGGTCCTTGCTCCTTCGTTCTGACCACCAGCTTTCTCACTCTTTCTCCAATTTTTATCTTTATTTTGGTCCTTGAATTAAAGCTCTGACCCTGTCTTTTCTCAGTAATGGTTCCAGTTTCCTTCCTACCCTCACTGACTCAGAGTTCAAAAGTAATTGTCACGCCTGGTTCAACTTGGCTCTAAACACTTCCACGTTAGGTGCATACCCTCGCAAGCAGGAACAGGGCACCAGGCATCC